ATTTTGAAAACAAGGTGTATGAACTTAATGGCTTTTGAATGAATTAAAATGTTTTAATTTGGCTCAAATTTTATGGGTGTTACTGGCTTGGTTGTTGGATTTCAGAAAAGCTGTATGCTAAAATGATCTTGCCTCCAAATTGTCTTGCATGACTGATCCTTATTTGATAAAACTCTCAGTATTCATTTTGATTAGTGAAAGATCTAGCTTTCATTATCATATTGTCATAGGGATTAATAAGTTGTAGTATTATAGGTTAATACTTGTTAGACACATTACCCATCCAGTTGGATCGCCAGTAGGATCACCCAGATAGTTGTGAATCATCTGAGTAACTGTCCAGGTGAGTTATCTCACTATACCATATGTTATAATATATATTCATGTATGTTAGGACATAGTAGTTAGTAGAGTAGAGCAGATAGTAAAGCTTCTATGTTCCTGTATCGGTAGAACTTAAGATGTAGTCTCTATGTATGGTTTTGTATGTCGGGCATGGCCCGACATGTAGTTTGGATGGGACCTGTTATGTATGTTGGGCGGGGCCCATTAGGTAGTTCAGGCGGGGACCATTATATAGTTTGGGTCGAGGCCCGTTTATATGCATGTATATGTATTGTGGTATATGGTATCTTGGGGAATCATTAAGCTTCATGCTTACCCAGTTGTTTATAAATATTTTTCAGAAACTTCATTGATTCGCAAGAAAGGCAAGGCTCGACTGTACATACACACATTCGCTACATGTTTCCACATAATGTTATTATACTATGATTTATTTGAATAAAAAAATTGCCTTGAAAATTGAGGACGTTACAGTAGGTACGCCCAAGATAAAAGGCAGATGACATATGATGAACCTGCTATCCAAGGGAATAAACTGTCAAAGAAATGGAGCATTGTCACATTGGAAAGTGCAACAACATAGGCCATAATTCACGTGCTTGTAAAGGTAAATGTGACATTAATGAGAAAAGAACTAGAGGCACAAGAGGAAAGAAAAATGGGGTTGCAAAGGAGAAAGGGAAGGATAAGTCAAGGGGGATGTTTGTGTTTCTGTTAGGTCTTTTGATTCCTCAAACTTGCCATTTTAGTTTTACGGTATCATGTTTGTTGACCTTGAATCATTTCAAACTTAGGTTAATTATGAAACAATGTCAACTGCTGTTGTGATATATAATAGCCCTTTTGGTTATATTGTTTTCCTTGTAAACTTGCTTGGACCAATTCAATATGTATAGAAAGATGGAAACAATAGAAAACACATTAACCATAATACATTAACCTTTTTGAAATTAGATAATCTGATTACACCGATATGCATTAACCATAACACCAAGACTACAACTTCCTGCATTCAGACGCCACACCAGACTCAAAGTAAGACCGTCAATACATTAACCCTACAACCAAGACTACACTTTCATACATGAAAGCCAAAAAAGACATTAACCCTAAAATCTAATCAACCATGTTTCAGGTAACGAATTACAAAAAGACCCCATTTGAAAAAAATGATTAACTTATACATCATTGCTTGCATTATAGCTTGTTGAAGGGATCGTTGGAGCTTGTTCATAGACCTGAGTAACCCAGGTATCACTTCTACCGATCTAGGGAAAATGGGGTCATCAAACCACCCAATCAACCAAAATAGCCTTCCAGGGTTGCGATTAGACCATGATGTGACAATAACAAGATCTCGGCTTCCACATGGGCAAATCAACATTCTTTTGCATGTTCTTAAGCTTTTCTTAGTTCACAGTTGAAGCATTAGAGTGATATGAGCAAGAAGAGGGGGTAATATATAAGTAAGACAAAATGTTCGAAAATGGTCCTTTAGGTGAAATGACGAAAATGCCCTCATGTGCAAGGCATATAGGGGCATGTTAACAGTGCATCAGGCGGACATTCACACCAGGGGCCTTTTGTGTGCAAGGTTTGCTCTTTAGGGATCATCTCAGGGAAAAAAGTTTCATAAGGACCATTTTAGGGAAAAACGGTAAAGCAAAATGACCATTTGTGAAATTGCCTGTATTATATATTGGACCAGATTCAAGAATTAAGATTAAAATGCTAGAATTAAGATTAAAATTCAAACTTTCAAAGTGACTTAGTTTTACTAATCCTCATTACTTATCTTTTTTGCTTTCTAACTCCAACTCTTTCCATTTTGCATTCTAAATTTACTATGAATTTTATATTTCCACCTCCCAACTCTAGTGTTTCATATTTTCCTCTTCGTCTCCATGTCTCCTACTTTTCAACCTTTAAAAGGGTTTAACCCGGCATGACAATATATTTACAAGGTCTAAACCTTACCCCAAAACCCGACACGAAATCAAAACAAAAATAAATAAGTTGACACGACATGACACGATAATTAATCGGGCCAGGTTAACGTCAAACCCTTTCTACCCATTTAATATCTTGACACGACATGAACCTGACACGACACATTTTCTTGGTCTGGGAATGGAGATATATACTTTTTATTAATATAAAAATATAACAAAAAGACTAAGGAAAATACAAAATGGTACAAAAAATAAGTTAGTTTAACAAAAGACAACAAGAAAAAGACAAAAATATGGATGGAGTGAACACCTCCAAAACAAACGCCATTACATAAACCGTTCTTGTTATATACTCTAATTTATACAAGGAAGCTATACTTTTGTACTAGTTTTCACAATGAAATCGTTACATTTTGTCACCAATCTATGCAAGTAATCCTCTCACTAACAAATTTATAAACTTTTGGTAAAATATGGTACCATAACATAAATGAATAAGAATTCCATTTTGTTGCATATTTTGGTAAAAATATGCATAAATAAGTGATCAACACTACAACACTCTGAATTTAGTTATTTTAGCTAGCAAAATGTCATGCAAACAAATTAAAAGATGTTAAAAAAAAAGATATATGCCACATTTAGACGATCCCATCAACCAATCCTATGACCAACATGAGAAAAGATAAATCACAGTTCATGTAAACTGTGATGATCAGAGTACTCCATCACCAACCAATCCTATAGTCATCACGAGAAAGATAAATCACGGTAGGTGTAATGAGACTAGTTGTACATTTTGGGATGTACAAATAGTTTCATACAATTTAAGTACATATATAAAACATTAAAACAAATTACCCACACAATACATGAACAAAACGAGTAAATTTATGTACATGAGATGAAAATGACAGTGGGATTAGGATTTTCATTTTTCATCCCGGTCTTTTTTACGACAACGTTACAAACACAACTTGAACAACTAAACCATAATGTACAAAATAAATACCAACAACTTAAACCAATCAATCAATTGGGTTAGACTATGGGTCCACGGGGCCCGCTGCCATGTCATCATCTCCCGAGTCGTATTCATCTTCAGTCAGCTCCTCATCACTCGATTGTTCTTCCGGAAGACCACCTATATCTTCCGCCTTTGCATACTTCTCGCAGTACTCTGTTCAATGTACAACTTTCAATGCATGGGGAACATGTTATTTTATTTATAGCTGCTCTACTCCCAGTCCCAAACAAAGTGCTATAGTTGACTTTTTATGTCAAACAAGCCGATCTTTGACTTGGTAATTGCTACATCGTTGTAAGTTTTTTGATAGAAAATCGATATTAACAAATACTATGATAATTAATTATTTCTTGTGGTGAATTTTGTATCTTATCATGACTTGAATGTCAAAAGTCAAATGTAGTAAGTTTGACCTAAAAACTAGAAATCAATGAGTTATGTAAATTGTAAGCAGCCTCTATGGAAAATGCAAAGTGTGATGATTTTCCACCATTTGAAAGTGCAAAAATGTGAAAACTGTATATACTGTTTGTTAAATATCTATATAAAAACCATGATCAGATATTCCAAAAGTCAAATAAACTATGATCAGAATTCCAATAAGAAGAAACCATAATCCACCACAACCACAATTATTCAAAGTTCCAAATGTTACATGTCAAAAATAAAACACATCAAAAATCAAAAGGCTTTTAAACTCATAGAGAAGAGAAGAGCTTTTAGTATTACTTTTTTCACTTCTTTAGTTTTTTGCTTTTCTATCTTTTAAGTACTACAAAATATCAAGAATTCAAAAAGAAAGTATGGAAATGGAGTTGGGCCCTATTTATTTTTGAAGTACAACACAATTGACAGTTATTAAGAATTCAATTTTTTCAAAAAGAAAGTAGGAAAATGGACTTAGACCCTATTCCCTTTTTCCACATTATATGTTGTCTATGTTTAGAAAATATTTGAGCAAATGATAAATGGAAAGAAGAATTAAGCAAGGGCAAATTTGTAAACAGCTAGGACTATTCAAAAAGTTAGGACTTTTAAGCTTTTGGCATCATCATGCATAAAACATGATGAAAGACTAAATCAAACTTAAAGTTAAGGGAAAATTTGCATACCTTTGACTCGTTGTTCATAAGAAGATTTATCACGCATCAGAAGAGCTGCAGCCTCTCCATTCAATGGATCAGAAGCATTTGGGTACAACAAAAGTTGCGGAAGGAACACCTCAAACACATTCACCAAGTCTATCAAAAAAAGATACTAAAATATATCAAAAACTCTCTTCCACAATCACAAAAGGGAATCATCTATCAAAATCACAAAATGAACATACTGCAATTTCCATATCACATCTCAAAATAAAAAGGGTTAAAGTTGAAATTGGTCACTCAAGTTTTTTCTTTTTGTAATTTTAATGGAACAAACAAAGTATGTATGTTTTATATTACCGAACATGGGGCTCCATGTCTGATTAATCACATCCAAGCAAACTGAACCAGACCTGAAAAAAAAAAATCAAATTATGATAATCTTGAACCCAAAACAAGATCATAGATATTGGATTCTTCAAGATCACACACTCACATTTCATCCACATTTGGATGATAAATTTTGTTAACAAAGCCAATGGATGGAGATTTATAAGGATAAGCATCTGGAAGTTCAACCCGTAGCTTCCACACACCTCCATGGTATGGACCTGCATAATTCATGATTATATTTCAGAAGAATAATAATTAATCCAAACGAACATAAAATATTCCTTTTCTTTTCTATATATGAAGATGTTTTATGTCATTTGAGATCTTAAAATGTTTTCGTTTGACAAAAGAAGGTCAAAAGCTGAAAAGCGGCTTCTGATTTACAGATAATCATTCCCAAAATGCAATAAGCCTCAAATTCAAATAACTCCAATCATAAAAAGCCAAAATTTAAGCAAAAAAATTAGGGAATAAAGATCAAAATATAATATAACCCTGTTCATATATACACAGAGATACAGACCAGTAAATCTAGGCTCTAGCTAAATTTCGTGAAAAACAAAAGAAAATAAACAAGGACCAATATCATATAGATGAAAATTTTGTTCAAAAATTAGAAAAAGCAAGTCAAAATCTCATCTAACCCTGTTCGTATTAGTTGAATCTAGCTTTAATTCAACAATACCCACGAAACCTAAGATCATAAAGCATTAAAAAAAGGAAACGTAAAGGACAAAAATAGTAGAACTTACTGTCAGCAGGTCCATGGAAATGCACATAAAATTCTTGCATCCCATCATTGATCATCTCCACTTTGTAATCACTCATCATCCTAGTTCATAGTAAATCGGTTGGAAAATTAATTTTGTTGTATAAACAAATTCCGAAAAGATTAAAAAAAGCATAAATTATGATATAGAATTGATTTTAAATCTAAATAGCGAAATTAAAGAACTTACAACTTCATCAAGTCCATCTCTCTGCGTTTGGTAGGAGAAGACATTTTTGTGATTTTCTTTTGAGAATAAATTTGTTCGAGTTCACCGAGAGAGATAAGAAAGAAAGAGAGAGATGAGAAACAACTCACAAATAAAAAATGGTTTTGGAGTTTTGGAGTTTTGGGGTATAGAATTATAGAAACAGGGACACCCCACCCCTTGTACCAAAGGAGAAAATTGCGTCACAAGGGAGAAAACAACAAAAAATATTTTAATATATATTTATAATATAAGGGCTAATCATAAAATAACAAATGAAAGTTTGATAATAGAAAATATAGGTTAGGTTGTATGAGTTCATAAAATATTTTTAAAATGCAAAATAAATAAAAAAAGTTGATTTTTTTTTTAAAATATTAGTTTCGTTATTTAAATTATCCAAAAAAATACTGTTTTATATATACGTGAAATATTCTAATATAATATTACAGTATAAATATTAAAACAAAATTGTTAGAATATTCAAATATTCTATTAGAATATTAGATTATAAATACTCAAAAATTTCTAATAGAATATTATAATATTCTAACAATTCTAATAAAATATTAGAATATTTTAACATATCTAACAATTCTAATAGAATATTAAAATCTTCTAACATTTTAAGAATTCTATTTTAATATTTACAGTGTATTGTTCTATTACAATATTTCAAATATATATTTAAAAAAATTGTAGTTTTTCTAATTGTTTTTAATTTTTTTGGGCAAGTTAAATGAAAAAAAATAATATTTGAAAAAGAATTTTCGGATTTTTCCTTTTATTTTTCCTTATATAATATTTTTTGATCTCCAGATGAGTGGCTAAGATCGCGTCCCCATGTCTCACAAAATTAACATGGTCTCAAATGAACCTCTACCTAAAAAATAACAAAGGTTAATAACCATTATATCTTATAATTCTTTATTATTTAATAATTTATTTTTAATTATATCTATACTTAAAGCCAATGTGGTGGATGTTTCCATTGCGGATTCTCACCTTCCATTTTCTAAAGTTATATTTTTCGCCATTCTCATTTTTAAAATAATTTCTAAAATGATATTCACCTCTATTTTTGTTCTTTAACTTAAAAGAATAATTTTTTATGTGTTTAATTTTATTTATGTGTTAGTATAAGTTCGAGGTGATGCTTTTTTATGTACGTGTTGGTATAAATTCAAGTTTTTCTACGTTTCGATGTATTTTTTTTAACGTTTTCATGTTTATTTTTATATATGTTTTCTACGTATGAGTCGAGTCACATAGTAAGGTGATACCGTTTAAGGTAGTTTAACCACTGGCGCATCCATCCATAAAGGAGGTAGCGGGCAGAGAATGGTATAGCGAGTTCATGTGCTTGCAGTTGGTTTACTACCATCCCCCTAACCTTTAGTCTCTGTGAAGTTTGACAACCTCAAACCCCGGTCCCATGGGGAGAGTTTTCTATTTGAGTTTCGGAAAAGAAAGGAGAAAGGACTTTTAAAGCTTGCTGATTAGGTTTGGAAGCTAAATTCCATTTTTGGTTATTTAAACTTTTGTTTGTTAACTTTAGAAAAAGAAATCTTACGTATTTTTATGTACACGGCGTCATAAATTCCAATTTTCTTTACACTTCGTGCTTGTTTTTATGTACATTTCATACGTATGAATTTGGTCACATATAATACGTTTTCATTCAACGGTATATATTGGAGTTAATCAATGGTGCCGATTATGTATATTTATCTACCAACAAATACAACGATAATTAACTTTTATCAATAAAATTGTCAAATTCAACTTACAAAACAAATTCCATTGCAACTCTTAGAGGCAAAATCCTATTTTGTATTAAAAGGCATCTATTTTTAAACAACTATTACACGATCATTTCATTATGACTTGTAAATGTGGGCTTTGCCCTTTATTTTTAGCATTCATATATTAAAAAAGTTATATTATGTGTGGTCGTAAGGATAATTCTGGACCAATAGATGAAAAAAAAAATTAATGACTATGATCTGAAGATTTATGCTATACAATGGAATAACATGTACAATATAATCAAATAAATTTAATTGTAATGGTAGTTTAATCAACTAAACTAATTTAAAAAAGGAAATTTTCGAATTTTAAAATATAATTAATACTCTTAGATTTTAAAATCTGACTTTCAAATTAAAGTTC